TTTTTTTTTAATCTGTTTTTTTTTTATATATTACAAAATATATATTTTTTATATAAAAATATATTTAATGCCTTAAAAATACGAAACGCATTATGACGCTTATTCTTCGCATTGACACGCCTAAACTTGTGATTCTTGATTCTCGACCTCGACGCTTCACAACGCATTATGCATTTTAGAACACTGATAATTAGAGGCATTTTGGCATGATTTCTAGAATTTTTTGAGAATGTTACCTTAATTCGTATTTAAAAACTAGTTTTTAAAATTGCTCTCTCCTCCGAAAGGGCTTTTTTTTTTGTTTTTAGACGAAGTCACGATGAATTATTTTTTTCTAAAAGCTCTTTTAATTAAAACAAGCATTTTTTATAAAATTAACCTAAAATCTCACAAAACTACTTTTGAAAAGTCATGACGAAAGGACTACGCTAGTTTAGATGCTTGTTTCTTGTTCGATGATGTAATGAAGAGACTAATGCTAGTCTCAACAAATAAGATAAAGATTATGCTATTTGTATGTACATCTTCCTTGACTTTGCATGAGTTGTCAAAATCGAGGTCATTACATTAAGAATTATTTAAATTAATGATAAAAATGTGTATAGTATCACACGATGTCAACAAAATTGTAATTGTAGCAGAACGGATAAGATATGTTTGTCAATTGTCCTCATACTCTCAAGAAGTACTCATCTACTACTCAACACATCACGTGATCTGCTCTTCTTCTATGGAGTGTTGAATTTTTTAGACTGCAATAATAAGCAAACAATCACATCACCAACATTGTCACAAGAATATTGCTCATTGGATAGGCTCAAGGACAAGAATGGAGGAGCACGGTAATGTTTCTGAACACGTCTTTGAGCCTGTTTGTATAACACAATTGTTGTTCACAAAATCTCCGGTATCGGCTGCCAGGGCCATACTGACAAGCACCATACCGTTTAGTAATCTTCATTATAGCTGCTTCGTTAGATATGGATTCTCCAATCCTTGAAGCAACAGGGAAGGAAGTGGATTAGAATTCTCATTTTCCAGCATTTAAGAGAGGTAATTGACAAGCTCACCCAACTCTTGCAATTTCTACAACAATGAGAGCGTCAGATACTTAGAAATGGTAAATCTAGATGTGAAGTTCATCAAACATTCCTCAAATTTAGTGAGGTTGAATCCAAGCTGTGGATGTTATGATATAAGCCTAGCCTGGGATATTGGCCAGTCACACAGGTGATGAGTATCATACAACAATTGCGAATGCTGATAGGGAAGCATCAACACAAATTACGGGGGCATAGATTATCTTTCAAGAGAATAATCACATAAAAATACACAGAATAGAACACCACAGCAAGTTAATTCGAGTAGATAGATGCTCTCTCAACAGCACGCCCTACTCCAGACATCTCACCCAAGTTCTAACTCAGAAGCGACTACAACATGATGCAATATCAAACGGTAGAAAAATCTATCTGTTGGTTATTCATCTACCACATCAAAGAAACCCATTAAGCATTAGACTAGCTTAAAAGTTACTTTTGAGTAACTTGTTTTTCCAAACATCTTCGAACCCTTTTAGAAGTGTTTATTTTCTTTACTCTTTTTGAAGTTATAGTTCAAAAACTTGGTATTTTTGAAACAATTCTTTACCTTTTTGAAAAATATTACTTTCTGCTTAGCCAAACCCAATCATAGTTGGCTAGAGATTGACACCACACTGACATCCTCAGAACACTGGCCTTTGGGATTTACAACATCACCAGTATGAAGAACAGATAATCTTGAACAGAAAGTGCTCCTATTTTTAGCTCTTTGAGAAGCACTAACATACTGGTACTTTTTTTTTTTCTTCTGATGGCTACTAGGCTAGATCCCAATAAGATAGTGATATACAAGTACAACTAAAAGTCCAGGTTCTTTCTGTTGAATAACTACTTTCAATTGAGTTAACTGTCCATTTTGAACATAATATGTTCAATTAATTCTA